TTTACGTCAGAATATATCAGATTAAGTAAAGATTAAAAAAATGGCTGATTTGTTAGTTTATTACTATCCATGCAAATAGAGTTCAAGCGTGCGTGCAGTGCATTGTTGTATAGCTACAGTATTTGCCATACTGATCACCCAACTGCTCACATAGCCAGTAGACAGCACGGTAAAGAACAGGATTACTGGATGTGGACTGATGGGGTTTTAATAAAGAACACGATGCTCCACTGACACTTGACCTTTGTCTCTACATCCGTGTTTTCAATTCTATCCTCGCTCATTGTTAGTAGTTAACCTTTGGAAATACTGGAAGGTGTTGTTGTTGTTGTGCAGTTTCTTGTAGCTTTTAGCACCTCGCAGTGTGTCTGTCATGTAGCTTTCCTTCTCGTATATAAGTTTGTTCAGTTTATTTTTACTTTGTATCCCATGACACTCGCCAAATGATTAAATGTGTTACAATTCTTAACTTTATTTAACTTAGATATAAGTAAACTGCTTGTTAATGCAAATATCTAACCAGCCAATCACATGGCAGCAGGTCAGTGCATTTATGCATGTAGACATGATCAACACGACCTACTTGAAGTTCAAACTTAGTGTAAAAATGAAGAAGAAAGCTGGGGTTTTGAATATGTGGTTGTTGGTGGCAGATGGTCTGGTCTGACTATTTCAGAAATTGCTGAGCTACTGGGATTTCCGACACAACCAACAACCATCTCTAGGGTTTGCAGAGAATGGTCAGGAAAAGAGCAAATATCCAGTTTGGCAGTTCTCTGGGTGAAAATGCCTTCAAATAGAGACTGTTTATAATCAAGTAGGGGTGCAATGATACACAAAATTCACGGTTCGGTTCGGTTCGATACTTTGGTGTCACGGTTCGATATTTTTTCGATACAAAAAAATGTTCATGCCTTTTTAATTTGTCATTTATTAAAATTATAAATATATATTTTAACTCAAAAGTACAGTTTTTAAATTTAACCCTAACCCTTGTGCGCGTTTTTTATTTTGACAGCGAATGCGCACCTGCGGACCACTTATGTGCAGCCCTGGTTATTTAGCTCGTCATATTGCAGCCACAGAAATTCTTTTGTCCATGAAACCATAAAGCTGCACTTTCTTTTTGCCTTATAGTCTGATTTGTCATAACTTCTCCGTTTTGTGGTAAGCTTTTCTTTGGCTGTCACTTCTTCACCCTGACCTGTCTTATTTGGCTCAGCAGAACTAAAATATATATCCTGCTGCTTTTACACACGCACTCACATAAGCTCAGCGATTCTCTGCGCGATCAACCTCTCACATGTTTAAGCTTGCTGCGGGAGATTTCACTTGTCATGTTTGCATAGTAAGCTAACGATTAATAAGACGATGTCAGAGGAATTGGTGCACAAATTATCATCACTCACAGATCAGTGCTGTCGCTCTCTATACACAGTTCGCACGATTGCAAAGTGAAAGCAAAAAAACAAGCGCAAATTCAAACGCGACTTCAATATGTCACATATTGACAGTGGCTCACCGATGCCAATGACATAATTACCCAGCTACATTTCTGAAAGAATGCAAAAGCATTGACATATATTTTCCTTCCTACAATAGCCCGACGGGCAGGGCAGAGATAGATTTTGGTAGCCCGACTGAAAAAATCGCTAGCCCGGGACGTCGGGCTAGCGATATTGCGAGCCCTGTATCTGATTGAGGAATCACTCATCTTTGGAAAAGAGAGTTTATTACAGAGAAATGTCTCTTTCCAAAATAAAAGCTATACTATCCGCTTCTTCTGGGCTATATTCTCAGCAGCATAAGGAGAATCATGTGCTAACAGCTGTCTAAATGACTCGGCTAAAGTTAGTAGCATGCTTGTTGTTTTTGTCTTGCACTAGGATGATGTCGGCGTAAATGTGCAGTCATATTGTTGTGTTCCCACTAGTGCTTTCAGGTTAATCTCGTTGAAATGACCTTAACGCCACAACACGGCAAATCTCCGTTAACGAGCTACCGCCGATCGCTCCGTGCATGGGGCTAGACGGCCAACACGTTAACGAGCTAACTGCGCTAACACACTAGTTCACACCAATGTAATTAAGCATTGCGTGGCACATCCAACATACTGTTTTACTTTAGTCCATGACTCGCTTACCTTCAGGGTCATACGTCACATGAAAACCAAAATAATTCCAAACGCCAGATCTGAATGAGGTGGGGAGGTCCATGTTGCAAGAGAGCTTAACTTCTGTCTTGCTAGCTTGCCCTGCGCTCTTCCTTCTGACTATGCTGTCTGTGTTGAGCGCTCAGTGGATCTGCGCTCGACAGTGCAGCCTAGGCGGAGTAGTCGAACACAGATTCACTGAGCGCTCAACACAGACAGCATCGTCAGAAGGAAAGTTGATAAAATAAATTACAAATGTTGTATTGTTCGATACATATGCGTACCGAACCGAAAGCACTGTATCGAACGGTTCAATATCGATACGAATATCGTTGCACCCTATAATCAAGGTATGCAGAAGAACACACAACATGTCAAGCCTTGCCCAGATGGATTACATCTGGTTTTGTGAATGTTACAGTGAGTTCATTAGGGGTGCTAGTGGTGATTTAAATTTTCAGTGATATAGCAGGAAATTAACTAGGCATATAATTATTTTCTTTCTCCTTTCCCCCTTATTTTTCAACTAACCTGCAGTTCACAAGAGCATAATAAACCTGGACATTCTGTTTTTGGTGTGCCACCCCGATATTTTAGTGGCCCCCATATGGCCACCCCTATGAAAAAAATCTGGAGACTCCCCTGATAGTATACCAAAAAACAGCATATATATGGTCTATATATATATATATATATATATATATATATATATATATATATATATAATATATATATATATATATATATAATATATATATACATATATCATCATATATATATATATATATATATATATATATATATATACATATTATATACATATATATATATATATAATACTATATACATATATACATACATATTATAAGTTGAACTGCTTACTTAGCATGCCAGTGCAGTTACTAATTATTATCCAATGCATGGATGCAGTAACTTGCATTGTGTGTTATATAGTTTCTCAAAATATACATTCCCAGTAGTCGGGTCTTTATTTCAAAGCCCTTACAAAGATTTACATTAAAAGCCATTAATTCATAATATTCAGCTCTCATGAATTAGTGGAACAACTGTTATTTAATTTGGCTTTTAATGATATAAACTGCAAATTATGGACGATGATTTCATGCTCTCCTTTATTTCTGCTGTCAAACTGGAGATGGTACAACTGATGAAAATGGACATGCACACTCCCACGAATCCATTATGAGTACTTGGCACACCGATTACATCAGTTTTCTTATGATTTCATTTGTCCAACTGTGATGTATCCCTACAGTGCACTTGCTGTCTTCAATCACAGTATTGTTCTCTACACAGCTGTGCTGCACCGTGCGTCTAAGACACTTAACATTTTCTGGGATGTTTTGACAGCTTAAAATTTCAGTCAAACCACCTGATTGACTCCAGAGCCCTTCAATTTCCTGACCGGAAATAGTCTCTTACATAGTTTCAATGACTCTAAAGTTTAAAGCATAACAGTCACGCTACTATAAGACAGCAGCTCACTGACTTTTCTGTTGAGAGGCTGACTTGTTGGTGGGAAATTATCAGTATGCACTAGGCTTATATCTGCAAAAGGTCCTCACCTAAACCAGGATTTGTTCTGCACATGCACACACTTCCTGTCTGAGCATTTAGTGCAGCTACATCGATTTGTTCTGCCGCTATGATGTTATTTCAGGAAATTACATTTAATATGCTTTAGTTCTATTTTGTTAAATGCATACCCTGTAAGCCATACATTATTTATGTCCCTGGGTAACAACACAAACCTCACATGAATAAAACATAATCATCTAAACTGTGAAAGAAAGCATAAATACAATTCAAATGTATTCCAGAGCCACTCAACATGATACAGCATAAAACAGCAGTGACGGACGTTTATCTGTATGGGCGTTTTGTGTTTTTTTGCAATGTTCGCAGTCTGAAGATACATTTGACTAAACTTCAGCATCCATTCAGAGGAGTTTTTTGTCCAAACGTTAGAGACTGACAGATGTTTGCAAAGGGCTGCACTCTATCTTTAAACATCTTTTCCTTCTTATCTTTTGCTTAAGGGGGGCTTTTTTAGCCTTTGAGATAGGGTGGTGGAAAGAAGACAGGAAACACACAGCCATGAGTCGATTCAAACTCAGGCCTCTGCAATAGCCTTATGGCATTTGGGCCACCTGCTCAACCCAGTGAGCGATACTACTGTTGCTATTTTTGTATTGACTGCAGTCTTCATTGCTTTGAATAGTAGAAAATCCTCTAAATATCAGAAACATTTTTAATTATTGGAAAAAAAATCACGTTGTCTTATTCTTATCTGACTCATGATTTGAGATTAAATCTGTCTGCTGTGTTATCTCTCGTCAGTGGTACACTAGTCCGGACTACAACCTGTTCGGTCCGTACATGGAGCACCGCAAGCTGCATCCTGACCAGCCCTTCTACATCCTTCACCCTAGCTATGTGTGGCAGCTCTGGGACGTGATTCAGGGCAATACAGAGGAGGACATCCAACCCAACCCCCCATCATCTGGCTTCATAGGTGAGTGCACACTCACGCATGTCTTGCATGCGTGCAGTGGTTGCACATGTGATGCACGTCTGTCCCTTCAGCTGCTTCTTTGTTGTTATCTTTGCAGATTGTTGCCTGCTCCTATAGCAGATATATATGCACACAAACACACGCACGCTTGTTTGCTGATGGTGTCACTGAATGCACAGTGACACCATCAGCAAGTGGCAGGATTATGCAAAATACCAACACACTCGAAACCAGTATATTTAAACAGACAGGAATGTAGATATGCACTTCACCTTCCTGTCCTGTTGCACTGTGCATTCTTATACCTGAAAATGATTGTCTTATTCTTGAAAAGCTGCACACATCCTGAACTTGCTAGGGAAAACTTTCCTGAAATTTCTTTAAGTAGTCTTCATTGAATTGTTGTCCAGGCTTCTTGAAAGATTTTCAAAGCTCTTCTTTGGATGTTGTATTTTTTTAGGCCTGCCAATTCTTGCTTTGTCCTCCACCTATCAAGTTTCCTCAGATATCTCAAGGAAACACCGCACACCATGCTGAGATATGGCTACTTTTCAGCTAAAAGCTCTTTGAGAATCACCTTAGTGGGAAACATGCTATATTATGCTTGTCAAACTGGCATTTTCCAGATTCGTCTGAAAAGATTCTGCTAGAGGAAAAACACATTTTTGAAACAGGAAAGCAACAAAGACTCCACAAGAACACGAAATCTAAGTAGCATTCACGCTAGTGAGCAGATATTTGCTGTACAAAGGGAAAAACTTGCAAAAGCATAAATAAAGCATCAGCTATAAAATATCTAAACAGCATGTTAAAAAAAATAAGTCAATTCAAATTCAGCGGACTGCAGAGGGTTGCACATGAGCGCAGAGGAGAAACTGGTCACTCTTTAATCTAATTACACTTTTCTTTTAGCTTAATCCAGCAGCTCTGCTGCATCACAACCCAGGAATCTGCGCTTTGGTTTGCCGTGCATCGGGCGACCCACGTTACAGCTGGTTTTCATTGTGACTGCACTTGATAATCTGTGAATCAGTCGCTGATTACACAGCTTAAATGGAAGGCAAAAGAGCTTTACACTGGAGAAACAAAACCCTGCTGAAGTGTTAGGCATGACTGCCTGTATTTAAAATGTCACAATGTTCCTTGGAGGACTCTGTTGTTTATACTTGTCATGTTACTTTAAATTAGACTGTTTTCCACTCAGCTGAGATTTTGACCTTCAGGGGAAAATAAAAAGCCGTCACCCATCTGTTGCTGTTACAGGATGTGTTTCCATTCCTTTTGGTTTTAGACATTGGCGTTTTGTCAAAAGTGATTAAGAAAAACGTATTATTTTCTGTTTTGTCCTCATTTGCACCTCTTTCATTTAGGAAATACAAGAAAAGGTTCCTTTTGCTTTTTATAATATTCACAATGTCACACCATCCTCCAACCTAATTTACGATGCATGATACGTTCCTTTTTCAGCAGCAGACATTTTTATTAAATCATTTGAATCCAGCAATAAAATACAATTAAACTGGTGACGATAATGTTATTTGTAATACCCAGCATTTCTGAACAGACTACTCTTAAAATTAATTTCATCCGAGTCACAATTACAAACACAATTTGACTTAACTAATAACACAGTGCTTTTCTTGTTTTTATTGAATACACTGAGCAGTCAGCTGCATCGCAGACTGGAAAGAGTAAGCAAAGCTTTTGTTGTGGCTTATTTTTTTGCTTGCAGCCTCTTGAAGAAGCACCAACCTCAATCACACATTTTCTGAAGGTCCTGAATGGCACCGCACAAAAGTGAGGAGGAAAATGACTCATCAATATTTTCTGCAACTCTATGTCAGTGGGTTGAGGTGTGAGCACTCTGACCTCACTTATAACTCCCTTAATCTTGAGCAGGTCCTGGTCCATTATAGTTCTAGATCTACAAAAGCAGTAAAATACTGATATCTGCTTTATGTCTTGCAGTTGTCATTTAAGTAAGGCCAGCTAAATGTAATCAGTTTCCCTAAATTTGTGCATTGTGTTTCCCAGATATGCCCGTAATTTCCATCAGTCATCAGACTGGCATCCTTTTTCTGTTGCTGGCCATACTGGATAATCATTTTGAAACACTGGCCCTTTTATTCTGGAAAGAAGATGAAATCATACCTGCAAAAACACCTGCAAAGAAACAACTTTGTAAGACCAACTAAATCATAACCAAAGAAAGCACAGCACAAACACAAAAACGAACACAATTCAAATAAACGCCTTCATGCAGAACAAAACTGAAGTACACGCATGATAAAGGTTCTGGGGGCTTAACCTTTCGAATTCTTCAACATTTAAAGCCAAAGCAGCAGGAGGGAAAGAGGAAAAGCAGAGTTAAATGATGCTTTAAATGATCCTTGCTGATCAAATCACAAGTCTGCGCAGTGACCTCCCCATTTACAGTGACACAGCGACTGACCAAGCAGCAAGGAACAGGTGCTGTTTTACTGGGGTTTTTTTACTCTTTGTTTAAAATGTAAATTTAAAAAAAGATCCTGTAGTTCAAAAAATAAATTTGGCCTTTTTAAACTGTAGGATGAAAACTAAGAATATGTAATATACTGAAATATATATAATATATACTGAAATTAATGTAATGCATACACATCAGTTCAGAAACAGACTAAAACCTTGAACCCACCACAGTGACGGTGCCCTTTATTAAAAAATACATTTTAATAGATGCAAAAACTTAGAAATAAGTTTGAATGAAGTTCTTACCTTTTTTTTTGCATGTACTGAACAGGAGAAGGTGCGTGGTGGATGATAAAACTGATTGATACCAACATGTCTGGTTGCATTACACATGGATGTACATGTATGTGTGCGTTTGCATACTTTACATGCATTTCTGTGGTCGTTTAGCACTTTTGTGTTATGTATAGTAAAAGAAAAAAAGGTTTAAAAGGGCACATTTATGGTCTACAAATACAAGTTTACACATAACACGAAAAAGCACATCTAGTTTCTGAAAGCTCTTGTCCACAGTCCACCGGAGTTCACATTCTGGGTTATTCGTGCTTCATTGTGATGGCGGTGATTCCTGTCTGATTAATGCTCATGTTCAGGGGGTGACCTCTGGAGGGTTTGTGTGCTTGGTGTCTGCGGTGCTGTAGCACTGGTTGAGAGCTTCGGTGGAGATCTGGGCGGTGCAGGCCACCGTGTTGCTGTAGACGCGCCGGTTAAGGTGGATTACCGTAGTCTTGGACGGCATCGAGGTGTCGCCTTTCTCCGATGACCAGCGATCGCAGTGAAACAGAATCAGGAAACACCTGTAAAACTGAGAGGGAGAGGAAAATAGTGGAATCACTGCACACTCACAAGCAGGTGAAGGTGTTTTACAAACAGTAAACTGAACTGAAGCATTTCTCACATATAGTAAAGAAAAAATTATTTGCATAGGGAAATGGTGCTGTCTGGATAAGTATGCAGGGTAGTGTATCGAAAAGTTCACTTGGTGGCTGTAAATTTATTGGCCACAGTATTCTGTCAGGGGTGAAATCGAACATCGGGCTTTTTTCTGCTTTGCACTCTGGGTCAGTTTCAGGTTAAAGAGCATTCAGCGTTTGCTCTCAGTCTGTTAGATATCTGCGTTCTCCATTGTTTTAAGGTCTTGAACAGTTCAAGACTGGAGTGCATATGCAAATGAAAATGGCCTAATGGTGTGTTCAGACTCACCGAAACTGTTGGTTTGCTTTTTGGAAACCACAAATATTTTTTAGCCAACACCAGAAGCAAAACTGCAAATAGAAGAAGGCACTTTTAGCAGCTCTCTTATTTCCCAAAGAATCTCCATGGCGACTGGATCTGCATATTTTGATTTGGCAAAGATTTTATATCCTTTCATACTCTTCCTGACAACAACCGCCTTATTTATCCAGGCTGGGGACTGACAGCAGGAGTACACTAGTTGTAACCCCCTTTGGACTTTTTCTAAAACACTATACCACAGAGCCGCTAGAAGGAGAACTTCAGTATGATTGAGAACTCATTTATGATGTTGCCAAATTTTCTCCAAGCATTCTCCTTCTTTTTTTGCTGCACAAATATGCCTTTACATAAACTCTATGTGTAATCTAACTGTAAATAATTCCTTTAATGTTCCCAAATTGAAAACGAAGTGATGCTTGGGAAAAGAAAAGGATCTGTTGTCATGGTAAAGCAGGTTACCTCCAGCACTTGGCGCTTCATTTCTTTGGAGGTCTATAGCACAGAACTTGTTAGGGTCTTATGACATCCTTAGGATCTTGTGGAAGTGACTCATCCATCCAAATTACAAATCTGTCATCAGTAACTCGTGTTTTTCAGCTTTGCCTTCATATTAATGGAATACAGTTGTTAGGAGGAATATAGAATTCTAATAATGCCACAGACCACGGAGTCAAACTTAGCCCTCAGTCATGATGGCAGCTCATCTGTTGGTACCTTACTGTTGGAGGTCTTGCTGCAGCTCTCCCCACTTCAGGTTTTGCACAATGGGGGAGTGGAGAGGTCTCAGAACATATCATCAGCCATACCAACAGATATAATTACTGTGGAAGGGATAATTATTCTCTCTGACTGAAGAGTCCTTGTTAAAATATATGTGTGAGGTCACTGTTTTTTGTTTTAGTTGCATTTCACAGAAAAATCCAGAACTTGCTGAAGCAGGCAAAGTCGAAGTCTTCATATATTATTCACAGTGTTATAGTTTTCTCCTCCCCTCTTTCAGCACAGTTGAGCTTCACATTTAGTCTCTTTGCACATTTTCAGATCTAATAGAAATTTGTCAAGTTTGTGCTAAATTCCTTTTCCGAAGACGTATCGAATGCCCGAAAGGCTCGCACACCTTTGATAATCAGATGTTTCCCACCAGGCCGTGTATTTATTATCGGCCGACGCTGATAGCGACCTTTACGAAAACTGAAAGGATTTACCTTATCTCCCGGCTTTAAGAGTTTCCGTTTTGTGAATGTCACGACGGGTTTGTAACGTCTCTACTTTGATCCCCGGAGCAGATAAAATAAAATGGATGTCATTAACTTCTCTTTGGCCATAAGTTTAGATTTTGGTTTTACCAGATTGCTTCCAGGTGTGAATGTGTGTTTTGACAGTGGTCCTGGGGGACTATTGCCTTGAAAAAAAAGAGAGAATAAAAGACAGGAACAGAAGGTTTTAGCGTTGTATTTTATAAGTATATATGTTGTTTTTATGTTCTAATAATTTTGTAATGTTTGGACCTCAAATGTTTGGCTAAAAAGTTGAACTCTAATTTAGTTGGCAAGTGTTGTGTGAAAATATTTATTTTCTCCTGTATGCTGACATTGCAGGTATCCTCCTGATGATGGCGCTGTGCGAGCAGGTGCACGTGTACGAGTACATTCCCTCCATGAGGCAGACGGACCTGTGCCACTACCACGAGACCTACTATGACGCTGCGTGCACACTGGGTGCCTACCATCCTCTCCTCTATGAGAAAAGCCTGATCCAGCGAATCAACATGGGCCCCGTGAGTGACCTCGAGAGGAAAGGACGCGTCACTCTTCCAGGCTTCAGCACCGTGAACTGTGACATCTGATATATGAAGCCTGGCCTCATGAGCCCGGACGTCACACACACGAACACGCACACACTTCTGGCCTTTTCAGGCTGACCATGGGAGAGGTGCAATAATGCCCCTATGGACAAGGAGGTTGAAGCTTGCAAGTTTCAAATAAAACCCGTGAAGAGCATAAGCCATAGCCCTCCAGGGACGGATAAACATAGAGGTTTCTGAAAGACCTTGTCTTTATTACGATGGTATACTTGACCAGAGGCTGGAAATTAGAGTCTCCAGGGTGGAGCTGAAAAAAATAAAATATAATATCAAATTTCTCTCTGCTTTAGCTGAGCCACGTTAGCTGTGGAGCTGACTAGGGTAGCAACTGATCTTGTTTTAGGTAGGCAAGTGAGTTTTTAATAACTGGGTGTGTTTCCAGTGATGTAAAATCTGTGTTTCTCAGTACTATGGATGGTTTTCCACTTTAAGGAACTGTCACTCTTTATAACGGCGAATTGTATAATTATTTTTTTTATATATATATATATACTGGTCCAAAGGGTTGTGAATAAACAAATCATCCATGTTGAATGTCATAGGTACACAAACTCGACACAAAAGTACATGCAGAAGAATGCAAACTAAAAGAAAGATGAGAGGAGCTGTCAAAGCTATCACGTTACTGTACATATTCCTGCAAAATCATCATAATGAGGGGTTGATTTCATACTACTGAGCTTATTACTGAATTATTGTTCTGTGCACGCTGACTGATAACCACCAGTTTGTCACGTTTTGTTTGGGGGGGGCATTTGTGTACTTAAAACGGGGCCAAAACAGAACAAACAGGTACTCAGAACAGCCGTGACCCTGTGCCTAGCAGTCAGCTGAACACTTTCCTCGGGTTGCCTTGTGACTGTTCAGACACATGCAGTACACACTCTAGCAGGACTGCAGTACCAATCAGTTCGATGTGTGGAGCAGTAGACTTTCCGAAGTGATGAACATCAGGGGATCCTCCGCTCTGCCTCAGCAATCACCAGCCCCTGTTTGTGACGGTCAGTTCACTCTCTATTGAATGTAATTTTAACACTGCGTGTTGTGGCCAAACCCTTGCTGGAGCTCATCTCTGTGGGGTTATTTCTTTATTGCGTAACAGCATGAAGTGCATTCCCTACAACTATAAATGTCTCATATTTTCTGAATCCTCTGGTATTAGTCTGTGCCTACCCGCAGCTCAGAGTAGAGACAATTATGAAAAAGGAATTTGGACCTGTACTAACCTCGGATTTACTTTGTCTCCAAGGTAGGGGGGATTTTATGTTTACAGAGTGCCGTGTCTTCAGCGAGCTCGAGGTATTCGGTCTGTGGGAATGAGAGCATCTTTTTTTCTTTGTAATAGATTGATCTTGTGCCATTCGTTGTGGTTTGTTGAAAGATATGAAAACACAATAGAAATGTTGCTTTAAATAGAATGATGTCGCTCTTCAGTAGAAACACTAGAGCATAGTATCATTTAGATAATAGCTGGTGTTAACAGGAGCTGGATAATATCTGGAATTTGTCAGTATTTACCAAAGGACATAAGCTTTTTTTAAACCCCCCCCCCCTGAAAAAAGAAACATCTTTTACGTCTTAGACAGCTAAAGACATGAACATGGATCCTTATTTTAACCATGTTTAAGACCAGTTACTACCACTGGTGTTTTTTTTTTTATTAAAGTATTTATGTACTGTAAATTTTGATATTATGCATTTATGTTTACCAGATTTAATAAACAGATGGCAATTCAGTAAATTACATGGATGACAAACGTACTGCTTCACATAAAGGGAAATCAGAAAATCAAGAATTTGCTCATTCTCACAAGAGCTTTTTCTTGCACTCGTGTAGCTGACTCAGTTGAAGTTTTATAAAAATATTTTGAAGTTTTGCTGTGGACACATTTCTTTTCCAAACTCCCATAAGTACTTGCTTTTTGTCCAGACAAGTCATTTGACTTTTCAATTAATTAAATTAGTAGCTGTAGCAGGTGTATGACAAATATTTGGGTCATTTTGCAAAAATGTTATGTATTTTATTTTTTTCAAATCTCCCACTTTAATTTTGAGTTGATGCACAATATCCCCCTAATTTCTAGTTAACAATGTAACATAAAATCTTACGCCCACATACCTAACAACTACACGTGATTACTATATGGAGGACGTGATCTTTCTCTTAGAGCTCCGAAGCTGACAGAGTTGGTGAATATCAACCGAGCACAAATAAATGAGGCGCCAGTGATTGTTCTGTAGAAACAAGCAACATTTCTTTGTGCGATGCTACGAGTGTGTTCATCTGTGCCTGCTAGAAATCGAGTCTTAGTTGCTCCGTCCAGGTCGCCGTTTACACTCCGGAAGCACCGTTCACTGTTATCTTTGTGTTAGCATGTTTGCCTTTGCAGGTGCTTGTTGGGGTTTGATTCCGTGTTTGCAGCAGTGGATATCGGTCTCTAGCCTGGCCACAGTTTGCCCTTCACCATCACATCCATGTCCCTTTGTGCAATAATTTGGGAAATCTGCGCACACCTCTACACTCTGCCGTTTTTGTTCCCACACATGAGCACACGTGAAAAGGCATTTTTGTCGTTTTTGTTGGGTTTTTCCCCCTATTTGCTCAAAAAAATGAAGAACGTTTGTAATGTGATTAACAACTTGTTGTTTTATTTGTAATGTTATTACTGAATTAGCTCAGTAATGCCAAACATTACAGCAATAGTGACAAATGTAATGCGATTGCAGTAACGCATAACTTTGTACTCTGCAGTACACCCAATCTTGACTGTAACAGAGATTTTAATGTATAGAGGAGGTAGTTTAGATGCTTAATAAAGGACTTATGATTCATTTTAAACAATGCAGGTTTTTTCGCTCTGCTGTACGTCTTATAATTGCGATAAACGATAAAATGTGCTTGTGATTGTAGCACACTGAAGGTGTGAAAGCCCTGAACGTATTGTATGTGTGCATTGTAGTAACAGGTTACTTTCCAATGCACAGAGCATGCAATTCAGGAGCAGGGCTAGGTCTTAAACTGTCTGTGCTGTACTGTGATGCAAGTAGGCACCATTGTCTTTAATGTTGTGAAAGGCATTCGTGCTTGCAAGGTTTTCTTTTACTGAAGTGATGTTTTGCAGATTTTATTGCATGCTTGTGGATCACATTCATCTGCAGTGCGGCTATCAGCCGCTCCATGGAAGTGCTTGATCAGGTGCAATGCCTTCTGGCTACTTCATCTTTGCATCTTTAATATTGTGCCAAATCCCATCTTTAATTGTGTTCCAGTTTGGGTGGGTTATTCATGGGATGAGGACTCAGAGTAACAGTAGGACTTCTTAGGTGCTTCTTTCTGCAAAAGTCGAGCTTAACTGAATTTTGTATTCTTTTTAAGATGGGACATTGTAGTCAAACTTGACATTAACGTTCTTTGGTTGTGAAGTAGTGAGTTGAAAAATATGTTTGAAGACATGCGTGTAACATTTACCACTTCGAGCCTCTTTCTGTCTGCTCTTTACTCTCGAGGCCTATTTTTCATGTCGAGTTTTTAACAAGTGTTGTGGGGATTTCTGTACCACACTGCCTCTGAAGAATTGTTTAACATTTGTTCTTTCTATAGCTACCTTTTTGCAGTATTCTTCAGATGAGGAAGAGGAAAGGAGTGAGTAATGAGAGTGATTGTTCTGTTTCCCTTTTAAGAGCCTTAGGGCATTGTTCTTGATTTTTTTTTTATTTCTCTTTGGTCAGTGAAATCTCTTGATATTACACTTGAATTGATATTTAAATCAAGCAGTTCTATGATTTCAGCTGTTGTTTGTCTTTTTCTACTATGTAAATAAAGCTGTTGTACATGTTCAAATCTGTTTTTCAGAATTATAACTCTTGATTTTAGGTAAGACACGCACATGCACATAATAGCGACTTACCTGTTTGTTCATAAGTATATAGATGAGGGGGTTGATGACGGTACTGCTCTTGGCGAGCAGTGAGGGAACTACACTGGCCACGGGGCTAATGATGTTGGGTGGGCCAAATGTTGCCATCATTGCCACGACACCATAAGGCATCCAGCACAGCAGGTAGCAGGCTGCAGTGGTCAGCACCATGAACAGAATGTGGTACTCTCTCCTCCGGGCTGCAGTCTTTCGGATCTTACCCACCTGCGAATAACGGAACAGGAGAGAGAGGAAAAAAAATATTTCTGGAAAATTTTGATTTGAATTTCCTGAAGTGTGTCTTATATCTAAGAAACGTTAAAATTACTTCTTTTTCACTGCTCTCATGTAGTAATCACAAACAAAATGCAGCAGTAGCTCACCTGGCTCATAAGTCATCACAAATCTTACACTGAAAAAAAGTGACTGGCCATCTCTTGGGTTTATGTAAACATCTTGCGTGTATTTAACACAATTGCCTCATGCTCGGTATACCGAAAAAAGTAAATTGGGAGGTTGTTACATTAACTCATTCACTGCCAGCCATTGGCAGTGAATGAGTTAAACCCATTGACTCATTCACTGCCATTGACGGCTATAGACGTCAATGGCAGTGAATGAGTTAATAAAGTCTACCATGTAATTTGAACACAAAAATTTCATGTTTCTATCTTGAACGTAATTAAATCATGTAGGATCTGTATGAAATTCAACAACTTAATTTGTTCTTGTTGAGATGACATGATACAATCTAGTAAGAGTGGTTAGTTGCTGGACTCATGAAATTCACAAGATCGCAGGAGATTTCAAACTGCAGGAAAATCACTGGAGTTATAAGAGGCAGACAACTACACACACACACCACGTGTATGCTTTTGCTATTTATTGTGGTTTAACCTGTCATGGACAAAAACATACAAAAAATTCTGCATCAAGCCTTAGAAATCATAGCTTTCCTAGTTTTGTTAGCCTTGGATTGGTGGCATGGTGATTAGTGCTGTTGCCTCACAGCAAGAAGGTCCTGGGTTCAAATCCACAATCTGGGTATTCTGGTTTCCTCCCACAGTTAAAAGTCATGCAGTCATTAGAGTTCGGTTAGGTTAATTGGTGATTCTAAATTACCTGTGAATGTGAGTGCAAATGGTTGTTTGTCTCTATGTGATAGACTGGTGAATTATCCTGACATATTTTTAGATATATTGGCAAGTGTTTGAAAATGTCTCTTTTATAATTATAGTTTTCTGGGTGCAACCATTTAATTTTCAATCCCATGAGAGCCCACTGATTAAAATTAATAGCAAGGGTGAGTACTCATATACCTCTTTTCCACCAACACAATGTCAGTACTGGTGTGGACCTAGTTCCTCCTTATTGAGTGGTGAGAACCATGCAAACTTTGACAGGTTTGACAACTGAGGATTATTTAGCTGTCTGTCAGTCGTTTTTTAGTGGAAATGCACGGAAGTCTAGATTGGGCATTGGCACAAGCACTGTGTAAGTGAAAAAGCCATATATCTCCTTATCACTCCAACGCTGCTGGTCGATTGTTAAAGGTGTAATGAAACATATTCTAATTTGAATTCGTGATTATGTGACTAGATTTATATGTGCTGAAATGTAGCTTCTCTTTGCAGGAAGTTAGCTAGAGCAAAGGGAGTGATGCACATGGTGTTTTTTTAACACTTGTGACTTGGACACATATTTCAGTAAGTAGTTCATTTATTCTTTCTGTCTAGTTTTGTGTGTATTTTATAGTGTTTGGCAGTTTTCTGTTTTTATTTTTGTCTAATTTAACAAAGCTAATTTGAAGGTGCTATCCTTGGTAAGCTAGCCTGTTAACTGTTACTGAAAAAGTAGAGCACTCACAAGTTTTTATTAGTATCATTAACATTCTATTACAGTGTACATATAGTAATATGTGTTTTTTTTTCTGTATTCAGTTTTATTTTTGTGGTAATTCTTCATTAAACATTGCAAAGTTTCAAAGTAATCAAGGACTTATAGTTTTATTGAAATATCAAAGTGTTAGCTAGCTTTCTACCTCTGCCAGAAACCTGCTGTGAGGATTGCATACCAAACAGTTAACACAGTGAGGAAATTGTGTACTACTGAGCAGCAACTTTAGAAGAAACTATAGTTGGTATTGCCAAACTGCTTGGCCACCCCACTGTACACCATATGATGACTACTAGTTAGGAACATTTAGTATATGTTTGTGATGTTTTTCCTCTTATATAGTGAAACAGCTCTGGGGTCTGTCTAGTTTGACTGATCCAATGTTAACATCTGTCTTCTGGATGCGATTAGGAAATTACATCAACAAGGAGCTAGAGTGTCTTGTGCTTCCGCCTGATGCCCACCTGCTTTCCCCTCAGTATGTTTCAGCTTTTAACTGATTCCTTTGTCCAATATGTGTCATTTTAGCCTTGTGTTTTTTGCATGAAATCTTTAATATGTTAATGAGCAACACAAAAAAACAACATAGACTTTTCAACATCTTGAAACTTTGGCAGGACATAAGGACAATAAAAGCCTGGAGGAGTAAGTTTCATGACAGTACCTGACCTCCTTTTTTGATAACACTATTGATGTTTTTCCATAAAAAAAAAATCACATTTTAATTCATCTGACTACAGCTTCACTAAATGGGCATTGTTTTTTTTGTTGTTGTTCTTTGCATGGCAAAGCTTTCATTTGTGTTGAACTGTGTTCAGTGACGATAGATTTCTGAAGTCTTCGTGAGCCTTGAAAAGAATTTAGAGATTCCAATTCCATTATCAATATCACTTATGGATTAGATTCCTTGTCAATTCTCAGTGAGTTCTCATTGGCTCCACTTTAAAACATTACTTTTGTGCAAATGAACTGCATGCTCTGTAGTCAAATATTTGTGCATGTTGGAGGTTTTTCAACATGCACTGATCACATCTTTGTTGTGATCAGTGTTGGGTCATTACTCCAAAAAAGTAATTTGTTACACATGTTACACAGAATATTTTTCATAAAGTAATGATGTATGTTTTACTTTTTAATGCAGTTAGTTACTGCTAGGAGAAAGTAATATGCTATAGTTAATAGTTATACTACTCATTGCATTACTTTTGTCTGTAAAATGACCTGAAAAAGAGTGTCTCATAATTACCATTTAACAATATAATCCTGAGATGGAGGCTGCAGCCTAACTGCTCCTCAGTTTGTTACCTGTTGAAGTTCACAGTCTGGTCACTGGACTGACACAGCTCACACAACTTTAATGTCACTCTGCGCTATTGGCTAGCTTAGCGTGCTGTCTGTGCTTGCCTGTCTTCAATGCGGTTTCCACTTTACCTTTGCACTTTCATGCTTTGTTCAATAAAATATAAATAAAATGTCCATATCCACACTGCAGACTGCGGCACTGTTTCTACTCTGGCATACAAACTGAAATCAGCTGATCATACTACTGCTTGCTAGGGAGGAGAGTATGTCCAGTCATCAAACCTCACTCCAAGAGGAGCATTGGAGATTTGTCTCGAACACATAAACACTGGCTAACTGTGTTTTCTGAACTTGGGGAACTCATTTGATCAAGTCTCGTGGGAGTGCTCTGTGAGTATGGGGTATCAGACAATGCTGTGGGTCATCCAATCCCTGTTCATCTGTACTCTGAGCTTGGCTTGCACAGGTGGTTAGAAGTCAAAATTGCTGTCTGTGGGTGTTTGACTTTTTCATAGATTTTATCTGTATTTATGTACAGAATTTCCAGGTGCAGTCAAGGGACTTGGGGTGTCAGGTTGGTTTCAGGATCTCGTCTCTGCTTTTTGCAAA